TGAATGAATGAATGAATGAATGAATGAATGAATGAATGAATGAATGAAGGAAGGAATGAATGAATGAACAAACAAATAAATGAAAAAGTAACATTTTTTTATGTAAGCTAACTAAAGAGTACCGAGGATTTTAAAAAATTTCCACACGAAACCTTAAACAAATTTTTTTGTGCACACACACACACACACACACACATGACATAAATAGACACTTATACTTCAATGAACTCTAAAATATCATTAATTAAGCATGTTGGTTGGTTAGTTGATTCTATAAACCTACAAGTTATGTATGTATGTATGTATATGTGTGTGTGTGTGTGTGTGTGTGTGTGTGTGTGTGTGTGTGTGTGTGTGTGTGTATGTATGTATGTATGTATGTATGTATGTATGTATGTATGTATGTATATTACCTACCAGATGAAAATAGAAATAGCGCGAGCTAATCAATATGGTTATGTTGAAATGAATAAATGTATGTAAGTCTGTCGGTAGGTTGTTTATGTGTATTCGTGTTGATATGTGATGTTTGTACAGCGTCTTAATGTATACGTGTTTTTGTATCTCTCTGATTTTGTGCGAGTATGTAAGTGCATGTATGTTTGTATGCGTGTATGTATATAAGTTTGGGTTATATGTCATGGGTATCATAGGTGTATCATATATATACTACACATGTATCCATGATACATATGCTAACGATTAGCAAAATTCAACAAAAGCACTATCAACAAACAGATCCTAAAAGTCGTATTTAAAGCAGCATTAACATCAGAAAACATAGAACCACACTAATAAGTGCCAGAGATCTCGAATGCACACTACATTCCCTGTACACAAACTGGCTGTCGGTTGAGAGTACACTCTGTAGCCTGCCTTTTCGACGCATTTTTTTTACAATTTAAGAGAACTTTTATGAAAACTTCATCATAAAAAATTCACAAATAGGAAAGTGTTAAAAAGAGGCTTAGGCGTAAAAGAAATAAATTCTCCCTTAAACCGTTAGCAATCTACACCGAGAGCCACTTTTCGGCGTATTTCTTAACAAGACTAAAAAACCCTTCAAAAAAAAATCAAACTCACCCATGCACTCCTCATCTGAAAGGTCATCTCTTTTCTTCGAGTTAAACACGACAACTTTCTTTTTATTGTCAGATTTTCTGCTGTTGGAAGCTGTGGCAAAATACTCGGCGGCAAACTGGTACAGATCTTGTGGCTTTTGACGCAAAACGGCTACTGTGAATTCTTGCAGTAGTTCAGTTAGGCCAGATGGAATTTCGAAATTCATTTCCTGGCTGGTAGGATTGTCTTTACTGTTTGGCAACTACTTTTTCAAGGTTTTTATATTTTATGTAGTGTATTTTATATTAGTCTAGATGTGGCAAACGATTTATCCTAGTTAACGGGCTTTGATGTATGTGACACGTTGGGACCTTCTAGATTTCCAAAGTCGTGTTTCCAGATTTTTCTCCTATTTTTAGTCAGAAAAATGAGATTCTAAAAAATTTAATTAAATTCTCGGTTTATTTATCAAGAAATAATGTTAATAATAATTTTTACTGGTAATTTAGACTACGATATTATGAAATAACTAAATGTATTATTAATATTTATTATTAATATTAACCAACTTACTATTACAGCTACTACTACTACAACTACTACTACTACTGCCGCCACTACTACTACTACTACTACTACTACTACTCCTATTACTACTACTGCTACTACTACTACTCCTACTACTACAACTACTACTACAACTACTCCTACTACTACTACTACTACTACTACTACTCCTACTACTACAACTACTCCTACTACTACAACAACTACTACTACTACAACAACTCCTACTACTACTACTACTCCTACTTCTACTCCTACTACTGCTACTACTACTACTACTACTACTACTACTACTACTACTACTACTACTACTACTACTACGGCTTCTACTACTAATACTAGAAATGTTTTTATTATTCTTATTTCATAACGAAATAATAGTTCGAAGAATTTAGACAAATTGAAATAGAAAAAATTTTAACGGTGCTATAACAAACTATTGACTAACTTTCACTATTATCGAATTTTATTCATTCATATAAAATGAAAATGTTAACATATAATATAATATACTATATAATATATTATTAGCGAAAGATGGTAAATTTTGTTTGACTTGATTATAAAATAATTAATTAATTAACCATTTATTTATTTAATTATTCATTTATTTAATAATTTATTCATTTATTTAGAGTTGTTTATTTTTTTTCTATTTCACGAAGGCCTACAGATGAGCTAGCTGCATTGTTTATATTTACACATGGTAAAAACACTCTTCGAAGATCAAATTAAAAACCACCAGTGAAAAATAATAAAATAGTAAAATAATAATTAATTTTTATTTATTTATTATATATTTTTTATTTATTTATTTATATATTTATTTTTATTTATTTATAAGCCTTAATCTCAGTAAAATTTTAAAATCTTAAATCAATCAAAGATTTTTTTTTCAATTTTAAAACGTGAAAAACTTCGACGTAAAATAACTTAATTAATTAATTAACTAATGAAATTAATCAGATATGCAAATTTATTAATTATTACGTGAATATTTAGTATCTTTTATTTCACAAAATGGCGACAGGTTTGAATTTTGAATTTTTCACACAGCCGTTTAAAACGCTAGCAAAAAATCCCTTTTAAATAATTTAAAAGCAAATACGTATAAAATAATTCATTTAATAATTAATTTGTTTTCTTTCTTTATTTAAATATTCAACTATTTTATTTTTTATTTTAATAATGATCGTTTCAAAATCATTCAACTTTTATTATAATACTACAACAACGAGCCATCCAAACCACAAGCACTTACATGAGTCAACTGAATGAACCAGTACAATAGATGAATGACATGCATACATACATACATATATGCATACATACATGCATACATACAAACATGCACATACAAATACAATACATACCTATATATATATATATATATATATATATATATATATATATATATATATATATATATATATTCTAAAGATGTAAAGAAGAACATAAGGAGAGGAGTAATAAAAGAATAAACATTTGACAACTATTCAATTCTGACATACATAAATTAAAATGAATGAAACAGAGCAACAAATTTATGCTACGTATTTTATTTGCATTCCTAATACTATAATTAAGTAACTACACTCACTCTCTCTCTCTCTCTCTCTCTCTCTCTCTCTCTCTCTCTCTCTCTCTATCTCTCTCTTTCTCTCCCATTTTCGATGTATTTATGTTTGTCTGTGTACCCGCGGGTTCATCTCATACAATGATACGTAATACAAATCACTCAAAGGTAAGAATGAATGAACGAATGAATGAATGATGCTCTAAATAAATAATTAAATAAATAAATAAACAAAAATATATATATATATTATTTATATAAACTTAGTTACAAACTGAAAAATGCGGAAAATGCGGTGATATTTCTTAATAACTGTATATACGACAGTCAAATATATATATATATATATATATATATATATATATATGTAATAAATTAGTTGTAATTAAAATAAAACCCTTAAAATCAGTTAATGTATTTGCTTTTTTAAGTAAGATAACTTTGTATTCATGTTTCAAGACATGCTGAAAGAAAATTTATTAGGTGATTTCACTCACCTCATTAGCATCTATTCTCCGAAAAACGCCATCTTAGAAAATTCGTTCTGAGTGATTAATGACGATATTTTCAAGTTCGGAACACTTTCCGTGTTGTATTGGCTAGTGTTATTGCTAATATAATAATCTGTTATAAATATAATATTTTAACAATGAGAAACTCTGAAGGAATGGTGTTTTGCAATGTTTATTTTCAATTAATTAGTTCTTCAGCTTGTCATTTGTTCAACCGTCTTAGTACTACAATCTCAGTTGAAAACGAGCTCTCTCTTTCTCTCTCTCTCTCTCTCTCTCCTTCTCTGTTACTCTTTCTCTCTTTCTTCGGCTTTCTCATTCCTTTTTTTCTTTTTGACTTTTTGTCTTGGGCGGTTTTCACCTGTATCGATACTGCCTCGTTAAGTTTTTAGACTGGTGGTACACTGGCTCAATTTGAAATGAAAATCTCTCTCTCTCTCTCTCTCTCTCTCTTTCACTCTCCTCTTTTCTCACTCTCTCTTTTTTTTATTCTCTCCCTTTTTTGTCTTTCACTCTCTTTCTTTTCAGTCTCTCTCTCTCTCGACTGTGTTTTAATTACTATTTGTCACCTGGAGAGTATTAACCTGTGTATAATTACTTTTCCTTCAATAAGAGTGTTGACTGGTTTATCAAATCAATTGGAAAATTTTTTTACCCTCTCTTTCTTTTTCTATCTCTCTCTTTTCGGTCTTTCTCTCTCTTTTCTGTCTCTTTCTCACTCTCGAGTGAATTTTTCAATTGTTACTATTTGTCGCCAGGCCAGTTTTAACCTGTATTACTGCTGCTTCGTTGATCATTTGAATGGTTAAAAAAAATCCTTCTTATTCTCTTTCTCGCTCTCTTAACCTTTTTTCCTCTTTTCTTTCTTCTACTTTATCTCTCTCTCTCTCTCTCTTTCTCTCTCTCTCTCTCTGCTTTTGTCTTCCACACATTCTTTTTATCTCTGTATGTTTTTTGTCCTTTTAAAAATGGTCTGAAAAAAATTGACTAAAAATAATGATTAATAACTTTATAAAGAAAATGATATATGGCTTGGCTGCTATGTTTTAGATGGATGAAGACAGAGTGAGAGAATAAAAAAGAGAGTAAAAGAGAGTGAAAGAAAGAAAGAAGAGAGAAAAGTTACAAAATTTTAATTCACTTTAATGTGACAGATTAAAATAAATGAATAGCTTGAGTGATAGATTGATAGAAAGAGGGAGAGAGAAAGAGAGAGAGGAACACGACGAAAACAAATAACAAATGAATAGCTTGAAGGATAGATTGAAAGAGAGAGAAAAGTGAAAGAGAGAAAGAGAGAGAAAAGTGAAAGAGAGAAAGAGAGGAACAAAAAGAAAACAACAAACGAACAAGCCCGACGACCTCAAATCAGCTCGGCTAGCTATACGAGACCAGAAAAAAGATACTAAATATACATAAATATTATGCAAATGCATGAGATAAATCAATTAAAAATTAATCAAAATGAATAAAATCTTTGAAAAATAAATAAATACTTATTAATAAACTATTAAACTATAACAATGTAAAAACTCTAAAACGCAACCCCGCACATTTTTAGTGCGCTTTAGTGTCTGGTCTCAATCTTTAGTTTTTATTTAATTTTACAATTTTTTTTAGATTTGTTAAGTATTTAATAAACAATAAAAATAATTGAGTATAAAAAAATAAAATATAAAACTTAGGTTTTAAAAATATATCTTCAATTCATACATACACACAAAATCAGATCGTCACCATTGCTTACGGTTGTCACCGTTATTTACTATAAAAATATCGCCCAACCTTATTTTTTAAATTTACTTTTAAATAAAAAAAACTTGGTTGACAACTTGACCCACGTTAGAGCTGTTATGTATAAATAGACGAGTTTGGGGTTGGGCTTATGCCACTAAAAAAATTATTTTCTTGCGATATTTCCTAATAAAATTTTATCGAAATTTATTTTATTGAAAAGTTGGTAGCTTTTCAATTTAATGTCAATTAATTTTTTTAAATTTACTTAATTTAGCAGTAGCTACATTGCAAAAATAAAATTAATTATTTGAAATTTCATTTTTAAATCCATGTCTGCAACCTGCTTTCATTTTTTTTTATTCAATTTCAATTCAAATTTCAATTGTATTCATTTTGTAATTTTAAATATTTCCAAATAGAATTCAAACAGAAGTTGTGTTATTGTTAGAAGTTGGTAGCTTTTTAATTTAATTTTTAATTAATTTATAAAAAATTTACCTAAATTAGTTAATGTTGTTAAGTTAATTGTTAACTAATGTTAAAATTTTGTGTTTATTGCACAGTATAGTAATAATTGTTTCTTTATTTTATTGTATGCTAAATTATTTAATAATTATAATTTTATTCCTAATTCTAATTAAAAAAAATATTAACCTGCCATCTCTAACTTATATTAAATTTGACAGGAATTAATTATTAAAAAAGAATTAAGTTGTCTTGGTTATAAAATTATAAAATAAATAATGCATGTTCAATTGTTCATGTATGAATTAAAAATATTTTGTTTTGTCTTTAATTTATTTTAATTAATGCTTCTATTCTATTCAAAAATTACTTAGGCAAACAAAGAAAGTAAAGTAGTTAGAGAAAGAAAAAATTTTTATTAAAATTTCTATGCCTGTCATGGAGGTCTATGTTGATATGATGCCAAGAGGTTAATTCAAATAGAACAATAATTTAAATAATTATTTTATTACTATTATTACTGATTTTCTATGTATAAACAAATAAAATAAATTACAGTCAGACCTCTTTATAAAGAACTTGTACGCAACTAAAATTTCTATATAAAAAATTTTTTTACATATAAAATTGCTTCAATGGAAGGAAAATAATTTCTCTACAATAAACAAAATTCACGATAGCTAAAAGAAATATCTGAAATTTTAAAATAACTAGTTTTTAAACATAGTAAACTGTATGTTACATTTGGGCATTATTGTTTTACACTTTGGCTTTATGGCTTTGCTTTATACAGTAATGTAAAGACATACAGATAATATTAGGTTGCCATTCATGTTTTTTACAATTTTGTTGTGTATTATTACTTTTTATTATAAAAATAAATGATTAAAAGGTTGATTTTCATAATTATATAGCACATAAACACATTTCAAGCAATATCGAACTTTTTCCAGGGCATATTCCATATAACGAAATTTTTATCATAGCAGCTTTTTACCCTGGGACCATCAAATTCGTTGTACGGAGGTCTGACTGTAATTATTTTGACATTATTTTAATTTAAAATGAACATAATCCCTTTTATAGATGTCAACGATGATGATGTTTTTAATATTAAAGATGAAATCCAAGAGATTATCATTCTATCCGATGAAGAGGATAACAAAAGTATCAGTGATACTCAAATCACTATTCCTAATCTACAAACAAATCAAAAACCACCATCTTCACCTATAAACAGCAACAAAATTTCCACTGTTCTCTTGCCCGATGGTCGAAAACTAGTGCAACTAAACACGCTTCCATTAAATCGTAAACCTCCTATCGTATTGACTTCACTTTCACTAAATTCTACCCACCGTAAATGGCCAGTTTCACTAATTCCATCTGCATCTGCCCACAAAAAAATGCCAAGTCCGCTAGCATTGAATTTGACCCCCAACAAAGCACTTCATAGTTCACTGATGTTTAATTCTACTCGCCGGAAAGGGAAAAATTCACTAATTGTATCTGTGTCTGACCTCCAAAAAACGTCGAATTCACTGGCGTTTAATCCGAATTCTAGCAATGCAATGTTTAAGTCAGTAAAGCTAAAATCGGTCCACCGTAAAAAAGTAAATTTAGTCATTTCGCCTCGGCTCGTTCCCAAAAAAATACCAAATTTACCGAAGATTAAACCGGCTCCTATCAATGTAGTACCGAAATCATTGACGGTAAATTCTACTCGCCGGGTGATGTCTGTTCCCCAAAAAACGCCAAATCCACTGGTGCATAACTCAATTCCCAAAAGTGCCAAAACTCTAATAATTACGCCTCTTCCATCATCGCCAAAAATACCAGACCCGCCAACTTTTGGTTCTACATTTCAAAAAGAACTAACTTCACAAATTAATTTTTGTTCCAATCCCAATAATCCTACTTCTCAAGAAACTGCACCATCGACTCTAAACAAAACGACAGTCCCGCCAGTTAATATGGGGAATATCGTGTATGATGGCGTAGGCGATGGTGAAGTCGAACCCGAAAGTGAAACTGATGATGGTGCTTTTGACGACGATTATGCTGAGTTCCTGGAAGAAGTTTGTTGTTTCTCGTTTGATCTATTTTTGGCTGGAATTTTGTCTTTTCATTGTTTTTGTATGGGATGTTATTGATTTTTACATCAGGTTTTTGTTGCTAGAAAGTTTTGGGGTATCATTGTTACTATATTCTTTTTTCGTAGCCGACGGAAATTGAGAAAACAGACGACGACAACCCACCTAGTCTCGGCATAGACGAGGAAGTGAGAGTCTTCAACCAGCTCATCATAGACGAGGAATCCACACACGCGGATCAGGATTCGACGTCTGGTGAAAAAGCCGAAGTGGAAACGAAAAAATTCGTTTGTACGTTTTGCCAAAAGCCCCTTCCGACTAAAAAAGCCTACCTCGAGCATGTGCAGTTACACATCATCGACAAACTTTACAACTGCAAGGTCTGTAAGAAATCTTTCAACATGATCAGCAAACTGTTAGAGCACGAGAAGGAGCACAAGGAGAAACACGTCTGTAGCATTTGCTACCTGACTTTCGATGTTTTCGACGAATTTCAGAAACACTCGGATAGACATAAGTTCGATGAGAAACCGACTTGCAACATTTGTAAGAAGCTTTGCAAAACTTTCAGTCAATTAAGAAAGCACACTAAGAAACACGCAAGCAACAAGCCGTACGTTTGCCCTATCTGCGAGAAATCTTTCCGGAATGCCGTGCACTTGCAGCTGCACCACAACTGCCACAAACTCAGGAGTCCGATTGTGTGCAGTATCTGTAGCAAGGTTTTCTACAACCGACCGCCATACAACCATCACATGAAGAAGCACAAACTGACCGGTAAGAAGCGTATTGAGGTGAAGATTAATCCTGCTGAAAAGTCTAAACCACAACGAAATATCAACAAGAAAGACGAAAAACACAATGACAACGCCGACGATGGCGAGAAGAACGATCGAGAAAAAGACAAAGTACTGAAATGCCAATTTTGTGATAAAACTTACAACAAACAGTCATCGCTGAAGTCACACATGTCGTGCAAACACTGGAACGGCCATACGACTCTACCTCCTAATTTTAATCTAGAAAAGCTGACAAAGGCACATGTTTTTTCTCAGAAAAAAGATACACCGACGCACCCGACAGAGAGTAAACCTAGTTCAAAGGTGATAGATACTGCTGAATCAACTATCACTACCTCGATTCCTCCATGTGCTGAGCAGAATTTAGGGCGCCTACCAGCCACAAGATCACGTCTTATCGTTATAGAACCAATCGAAGACTAACGAATTTCTTTAAATATTGCAAATCGATACTAAATAATTCAGTGTATGAATTGGTGAATGATGATTCGGTTTCAAGTGTGATCTGGTTTGGGAGTGAACGTTGTGGCATACATGTGTGTGTATTTGTATGGTATGTATGTGTTGGTGTACGTGTATGTGTCGGTGTATGTGTAGGTGTTCTTCGGTTTAGTTTTACAAGTTTGTATGGTATTAAAAATGTCTGTGTACATTCAAATGGGCTATTCATAGTACATTAACTTATTACGATCATTTATGTATTCATAATATTCAGCCAGAACAATGTGTATAATTTTGATATATGAACGAAGGATACAGTAATAAAAATGTACAAAGTTTATCTCGAAGTTTATCTTTTTCTGTCTTTCGAGCACAGTTTTCGTTAGTTTCTCCGTAAAAATGTTATTTTGTATATATATACAAAATAATATATATGTGTGTGTGTGTTTTATTTAATATTTTTTTTTATATTTTATTTTATCAAAATTAAAGAGATTTTTTTGCTTCAAATATATTTTATTGAGTCGTAATCGTACATGAAATTTATGACAAAATTTCAAAAAAAACCCAGCAACCCAATGGCGAAATCAAGTCACACTGTTCAAATTAATATTTTAACTAACTGAAAGAACATAAAATTCTGTTGAAAATTTTTTCAAAAAAGTGAAATTGCACGCTCACACACACACGTACGCACGCTCACACGCGCGCGCACACACCCAACCAAACACGTTATGTTTATCAGGTTTATATTGACGAGAAATGATAAAATATTTCAAATCTTCATTTAACACACACAGACACACTCTTTCTCTCTTCTCTCTCTCTTCTCTCTCTCTCTCTCTTCTCTCTCTCTCTCTCTCTCTCTCTTCACCATCTTTATTCAGATCATCAGCAACTTGGAGGACAGCCACTAAACACACACGCCATCTTTATCCGGTACAAAAAAACTTGTGCAGGTGTAGGCGCATTCGCCCCCTAGATAATATTGGCCAGGATAACATGGATTTCGGCCTCGTTTTTCTTCCTTTAAAAATTCACCCAAACCAGTATTTCCATCTCCGGAGCCAACTTTCACATCACCAGAACCAACTTCCAGATGCCCAGAGTCAATTTTTTTGTCACTAGGGTCAACGTTTTCACTGCCATCTGGTGTTGGAGTCTCTACTGGGAAGCTGTTATCGTCGCCACTAGAACCACCATCCTCTGCCAGACATGCTACGTTCAGTGATTTAATTGGGGTTATGAATTATTTAATTTAATAAAAAAAAAATTTTATTTAAATTAATTATTAAACAATTGGGAAAATTGGAAACAATTTTTTGAAACAAATTAAATTGAAACATGATGAATTTCTATGAAATGATTCTTCAAATAGATAAAAATTCTCACCAAAAGCACAAAACCAAGGATGAAGATTTTAGACATTTTGAAAAATTTCTCAACTTCTTTAGGCTGAAGATGTACCATCCTATGTCTATATATAGAGATGGATGTGTGCGAGTGTGTTCGTGTGTATGTGAATTTTACTTGCGTGTATGTGTATTCTACATATATACGTGTGTGTGTGTGCTTGTGTGCTTGTGTGTGTGTGTGTGCTCGCTCTATAGTCGAAGTTGTAGAGATAGGTTTAAGCAAAAATTAAAAAAACCCTTATTGATAGAACGTACCAACAGATGGATGAACGAACGAACGAACGAACGAACGAACAAATAAAATTAAAAAAATTTTTTAATAATTATAATCATATTTAATTTATTATTGATTAAATGTGTAATCGGATTTAGAAATCTTAAAGACGTCTACTATTAAGAAAATAAAAATATTTTCTTCAAGTTTAAGAAATTATGGCTTGATAAATGCTCTTTATGATGATGATGGTGGTGGTGGTGGTGAAGAAGAAGAAGAAGAAGAAGAAGAAGAAGAAGAAGAAGAAGAAGAAGAAGAAGAAGGTGATGAAGACGAAGAAGATGAAGAAGAAGGTGATGAAGATGACGATGCAGATGATGGTGATGATGACAGCAATAAATTCCTAGACTAGTTAGTTAAATAAATAAATAATCGATATTGCTTTTTAATCCTTAGGTTAAATATTGTCATTTTTTGTATTTGAACAATTAATTATTTAGGTTAACAGACATACACACGCACACACACGTACACAAAAACACACACATTCAATAAATATACATTGCCCTACAATACACATACACACATACAATACATATAATATACACACCTACAACTCACACACGCATAACATCAATCTTCATGTATTTGCGAATTTGGCTTTGCTGGCCATGACTGGTAACCCGATTTAAATATTTTATTTTGTAAAAATTTTAAATATTTAATTCCAATTTACATTTTCAAAGTAAATTGGAATTAAAATTTTAATTGGAATTTTAATTGGAATTTTAAATTTTATTGCATCTAATTGAAAATTTCAACTACAATTGTGTAAGGATATAGATGTAGCGCACATACTGTTACACACACACATACACACACATCCACACACACACACACACACACACACACACATATATATATATATATATACACGCACACACACACTCAGACATACAGATACATACACACACACACACACACCTATATATTATAGTATATCAGATCTTTCGACAAATTTAAAAACTCCGTAAGAATATGTTCTTGCTATGTTAGCCATGTTGTTTGTCATTTTGTTTTACAGCATTAAAGAATTTCAAATACGTTGGAGCAAGCTTAACTGAAGTTCACTGAATGTTAATAAAAAGAAGAAATATAAGAAACAATGTTCGTGATGTATTTTTTTCTTCTGTGCTTCAAACAGAGCGATCTATGCTTTATTCTGTTCGGGTGATGATGGTGAAGAAGACGACGACGATGAAATTATAAATGTTATATTAATGGATTTTTCAATTAATGAACAAAATGATTGAAAATCATGTAAAATGAATTAAAATTTTACTCTAAAATAATATTGGCAATAATCTATTGAATCAGTTTATTCATTAAAGAGTTAAGATACACACACACACGCACAAACAATCAAACTCATTCACACACACACACACACACACACTCATTCATACATACATAAAAATGTAATTGAAGAAAAAGATATGTAGCCGAAATTGCACTTACATTGGGAAAAGCACACAAACAAAGAACTAACAAACACACACACACAAACACAAACAAACACACCAAACAAACACACTCAAACAAACAAACACACAAAAACAAACACACCCAAACAAACAAACACACACAAACAAACACACACAAACAAACACACTCAGACAAACACACACAAACAAACATACATATACAACAACACTACCTCCATGCAAATAACAGATATGAGACTATTGCAGAGAGTTGGCGACCAGTGAAAGCCTCCTTCGATACCAATATTGGAGCAGGTGAAGCCGCTACCATAGCTGGATATATCTTCCATGTCCCAAGGAGTGTATCTGGCGAAGAGCTCTGGAATTTTTTTAAATTTGAATTCTATTCTTTTTCATTTTTTTCTTTATTAATTACTTTAAAAAAGGATGTTGTTTAATGTTGTTTAAATGCTTTTTCTGCTTTTGTGTTGTGTGTGCGTGTGAGTGTGTGTGTGCGTGCCCGCGCGTGTGTGTTTTTATGCGTTCACGTTCGCTACAAAACTAAAAACATTTAAAAATTTTCTTCAAACTAACCTGGTTCTTCATCGTAGTACCACCTGAATTTGCTATAGCCCAACCAGTAATGCTCTCCCGGCAGAGAACCTTCGATCAGCATGCTGACTTTGAAGTTCTCGTCAAAAACGAACAAATCACCACCGTTTAGGATGCAATAGGCCCTGGCTTCGTACCAAGTCTTCTTCAGCTTCACTTTCTGGAAGCAGGCGTCGCCGCTTTTGTAGCTGCTTTTGTTGCACTTTCCTACAGAGAAAATGACGTAGCATTGAAAGTTTTTAAACTGTGTGTTTGTCTATTGATTGGTTGGTTGGTTGGTTAGGTTGGTTGATTGATTGATTGGTTGTATGGTTGGTTTGGTTGGTTGATTGATCGATTGATTGATTGATCGATCGATTGATTGATTGATTGATTGATTGATCGATTTGATTGATTGATTGATTGATTGATTGATTGATTGATTGATTGATTGATTGATTGATTGATTGATTGATTGATTGATTGATTGATTGATTGATTGATTGATTGATTGATTGGTTGATTGATTGATTGATTGATTGATTGATTGATTGATTGATTGATTGATTGATTGATTGATTGATTGATTGATTGATTGATTGATTGATTGATTGATTGATTGATTGATTGATTGATTGATTGATTGATTGATTGATTGATTGATTGATTGATTGATTGATTGATTGATTGATTGATTGATTGATTGATTGATTGATTGATTGATTGATTGATTGATTGATTGATTGATTGATTGATTGATTGATTGATTGATTGATTGATTGGTTGATTGGTTGATTGGTTGATTGATTGATTGATTGATTGATTGATTGATTGATTGATTGATTGATTGATTGATTGATTGATTGATTGATTGATTGATTGATTGATTGATTGATTGATTGATTGATTGATTGATTGATTGATTGATTGATTGATTGATTGATTGATTGATTGATTGATTGATTGATTGATTGATTGATTGATTGATTGATTGATTGATTGATTGATTGATTGATTGATTGATTGATTGATTGATTGATTGATTGATTGATTGATTGATTGATTGATTGATTGATTGACGAACCAGGCTTTGAGCAAATAAAGAAAATTTTTTCCCTGTTACTCAGGGTTCTCAGCGTCCCATCATGCCTCATAGAGAGAAACCTTGAATACCTTTTAGAAGGGGTTTTTTCTTCAGGTAGGTAGAAGTTCTTCACGTCTAGGATTTTTATCATGAATGAATGAATGAATGAATGAATGAGTGAATGAATGAATGAATGAGTAAATGAATGAATGAATGAATGAATGAATGAGTGAATGAATGAATGAATGAATGAATGAATGAGTGAATGAATGAATGAATGAATGAATGAGTGAATGAATGAATGGATGAATAAATAAATGAATAGATGAATGAATGGATGAATAAATGGATGATTGAATGGATGGATGAATAATAAATGGATGATTGATTGAATGAAGGGATGAATGAACGAATGAATGAATGAATGAATGAGTAAATGAACGAATGAATGAACGAATGAATGAACGGAGGCCTATAATATTTAAAATTTTCAACAAAATAATGTATCAATTAATTTTTTGAAAAATATTTAAAGTAAAAATCCCCCTCTAATTCTCAATAATAATAATAATAATAATAATAATAATAATAATAATGGCAATTTTAATTAAAATGGAAAAAGAAATTTAAAAATAAAAAAACCTTTTTTCGGATGAATGGCCTTCAAATGCCCGTACTCATAATCCACCTTCTTCAACCTCGTGAGAAACCTCACACTATACTGGTTCCTCCTCCTGAAAATATCAATAAATTCACGTGCATGATCGTTCTGCTTCGGGTTTAAAATCCTCAGAATGGTACTATTATTATCGGCACAGAATTTCTCAGCCCCCTTGTAGCTCCTGGCGAAGAACTCCGTGTTTATGTACAAACTCGTGTTAAAAGACCTATAGAACACCAAGTGATGTGAAGAGGATGTTAGCCGTGCAGAGAGAATAACTGTTGGTGGTTATAATATTGTTCTTATTTTTTTATATTCTAATAAAAAATTTTTTAATTAATTGTTTAATCAATTGTTTGATTAATTTTTTATTTAATTGTTTAATTAATTGTTTAATTAATTGTTTAACCAATTGTTTAATTAATTGTTTAATTAATTGTTTAATTAATAATATCTCAATGGTGGCGTGTTAGCGTAGTGTTTAAGGCACTCGGTCCTTGCTCTCTCGCAGTGTCCGGGTTCAAATGCCAAGAGATCCCTGTTGAGTGTGCGTGCGTTGTTGGTAGCTCTGAAAGCTAATTAGGAGAAAAATAGTAGCAATAATAATAACAATAATAATAATAATTATAATAACAATAATAACAATAATAATAATAATAATTATAATAACAACATTGGAGATAACAGAAACACTCACCAATAAATAGCAAGGAGTTCATCATCATTGCGGCTCTTTCTAACTTGGAAATTTCAGGGAATTTTAAAAAAAAAAATTTGCCTCGCTGACGTAACGTTGAAATCTGAAGGGTTTTATATAGAAAATCAAACATCCGGTTGTCGAGAAAAGAGATTGAGATAGATAGATAAAGAGAGAGAGAGAGAGAGAGAGAGAGAGAGAGAGAGAGAGAGAGAGAGAGATAAAGAGAAAGATGGTAAAAGAGAAAT